AGAGAGAGAGAGAGAGAGAGAAAAGAATGATAAATGGAAGTAGCATATAGTCAGAGAAAAAAAAATTTCCTATAAACATATGAAAATTTGACGAAAATAGAAAGAGAAATCCTTCCTCCATTTCCTCTCTTCCATTTCTTCTTTTCTCTTTTTGTAAATGTGTGCGAAGAATCGACACATTGCGAAAACAAAACCCGGAAGAGACAGATAACGGAAGATAAATGCCATGTCACGTTCTGATCGAAATCACGCGATCTTATCTTCCAAATACACAGTATGACTGCAGTATGAACGTGAGATAATTTTCAAATCAATACTTCAACGACGAGAGATGATCGCTCAACATCCCTCGACGTTGACGCGCGCGAGATATTTACTTACTGGAATTTAAAAAAAAAAAAATTAAAACGTCAGAAGGAGAGGCGAGCAAAGTTCGAAAAAGAGAAAAAGGTATCTTCCGTTCGTATCTTCTCCAGCATTGAACGCATAGAGAATTCGAGATCCCCGAGGCGCGCGCACGCTTCGCGCTCGCGCGGCCGTCGCACGTGCGTGCCTGCGTGTGTACGGGGAGGCTGTGACTCATCCTGCGGGAGAGGGAGAAAGAGACAGAGTCCTGTTTCCCGCGGCAGGAAACAACGAGTGGGGGTGGGGATCGATATATCGACTCGAGAAACACTCCTGCCGTTAGCGGGAACTGCGTAGCTTCAAGGTCCACCCGCACACCCCTCCGCCCCTCCGCCCTCCCGCCCCTCCCACCCCCCTTCGCCCATTCTACGTTTTCCTTCCTTCCTCCTCTCGCTTTTAGCCCCCCACGGTGGAGGGCGATTTTCTCGGGCTGACTCGGAAGCAGTTTCGCCTTTCCGTTCATTTAAATTCGCGAGCGAAAAACGCTCGCTTTTATATCCCGCTGATAACTCCGCCTCGCCTTCGTCCTTCTGTTCCAAGAGCGTTATCGTCAAGCCGACGCACTCAATCGTGCCGTGAATACCCACATCGAAGATAACACTTCGAATAATTTACCAAACTGAAAAGAATTTTTTTTCTGTACAAATGAAGAAGCCGGCGTGAAGCCGGAGAAGAAGAAAGAAAAAAAACAGCAAACAAGAGATAGGGAAATTTAATAGAGGATCTCATTGATTATTATTAAATTGGAGAACAACTCGAATCGAGCATTAATCAACACTGTCGCGTCATCGCGAGAAATTACGCCAGATAAATTTACTTTCGAGAGCGCGTTACGTCGAGAGAAAAAAAGAGATGAAACGCCGCGTATCAGCGTACGGTCTTTTTTAATGCTCGTGCAGCGACGGCACGAGCCCGTCGCATTATTTTGCCGTGACGAGGAGCGAACGGGTTGATTGGCCTGCCGTCAGATAACCCTGAGCAGCCGAGAATTGTATCCGGTTATCGTGCGGTTATCGCTTTAAGCGAATAACGCAAAAAGCATTCGTAATGCACTCCGCGGGTCTCGCCGCTTCGAGTCGGAACGAGTTGAGTTTGCGCTACGAGTTAACGTAACCGAACCCTCGCGAAACTCCGCACGAAACAGATCCCCTTTCTCTTTTCCTCCCCCCGTCACTCCCTCGCCGCAGCCCGCCCGTTCTCCTGTCCGCCTTCTCGCTGGCTTTGACGGGCTTCCGTTGTTTCGATTTATCGAGAAACCGGAACCGAGACGCCACTTCACCGCGGCCGCCGCTCGCATTTATTTTCGTCCTTCGTGAAAGACAATTCGCAGCTGCGGAATATGCACGCACGGCGCAGATCGATCGGTCGGTCTGTTTGTATGGGAAATGATTGAAATTAAATCTCTCTAGGCGTACGTAAAATCCGTAAAATTTAGAGATAGACGTCGCATTTGGTGGAGAACGCTAACGTCGTGTAAGAGGCGAAAACGCTCGTTTTGCGTTTCTTGTCGGCGGGAGGAGCGAGAGTAGCAGCGGTGCGAAGACGAGCTCCGAGTAGATGGGCGGCGGGTCAACGATCCATCGTGTTTATGAGAAATCGGGTCAAAACAAGAAGGAAGGCGATAAAAATCAGACTGGCAGTCTTCCGAGGGGAAAGGGTGGATGTGGCCTCTCGACAGCAGGTGTGCGATCAACTCACGGAGGGCAGAGTCCTTTCTCGCGGGCGAAAGGAAAGACAGAGCGGGGACGGCCGTTCCCTCCCCTGGGATAAAGAGGGTGTTAAGTTGTACGGGGGCGCGGGGGTTGTTGTGACGGCGCGCTTGTACCACACCGGTCTTCGACTCTTGGCGATCTATCATCCCTTTCTTTTGGGCACCGCGTGACTTTTGGCGTCGCCAGAAATAGTCGCTGAGAGAATCTGACACACGCCGGTAGATAGGAGAAAGATCGAGCCTCTGGAATTGACTTCCAGAGAGAAATTTGCAAGGTCCGCAATTTCAGTACTGTAAATAATAACTCGGAAAAACGACGGGAATTCCACTTTTGTCACGTCGCGTGATTGATCAGAAATTAACAAAGAGAATTTACTCACATTTACCTCACTGTATTCTGTAATTACTTGGTTCTGGTTGAATGACGGTTAGATTACGTGGCGCAGTCGGCAGATCGTAAAACTGTGTATCGATCGACAAAATGCTAATTGATAAATAGCAGAGTGTTATCGGTGAAATTGTATTGACGGTCGCAATGTCGCGGCCGGGGCGAGACGTACGGTTCGGCGCGCATATGTCGTCAATAAACAACACGCCTGTTTCTGAACGAGAAACGAAGTTCGATACGCGATTATTATGACCCGCGGTGAGCCTTGAACTTGCCCTACGATAAGCGAGGCCGCTTTACGAGTCGTTGTTACTGCGTGCTCTGCCTTCTCGAGGCATCGAACGTTCATACGCGATATACAACACATATGTCGCACGTTTTTCGAATCAATAATCAGAGCGAAATTTATCTCGCGACAATTTTTTTCAATTTGTTCAACACGTTTTTTGCGATGCGCGTGACTAAATCCGACGACTAAAATTCGATCAATTGAAAAGAATTATTAATTTATATATTAATTAATGTTCTCATGTGGTTAAAGGATCTTACGCCTCTAAGAAAACGACAAGGTATAAGTTTTCATTTGTTATCATACCTATCGATATCGTAATTCTAACTCGGACTTGATCAAACGTACGATTGCAGGTAGTTCGACGCCGTCCCTAGTTGCGGTAGGAGTTGAACAGTCAGCCAGTCAACTCGCCAACCCCCTATTCAATGTCGCTACAATAATAAACCACCTCGGTTATCTGTATTTCTGTATTTCCCTCAGGGATTCACGGCACATTCAGGCCAAGTTCAAGCTATGTATGTATGTATATATATATATATATATCGTTCTCTATAATAGCGTTTTGTTCTGTACATTTATACCTTTCTACAACTATACGTCTATCGGGATTTCGCAGAAGCAATCACCGAGAAGATGATTCACGCATTTATGCTCTGCGATTAATATCATTTTTCCGAATTTCTAACCATATTCTCCAAATTCTAATCATTTTCAAGAGTATGCGTTTCGAATGAAATGTATATTAAATTCTTTCTTCATCCTAATTCTCTATTTTTATTTTCTATATTTATCTATTCTATATTAATCTTGCAATTTTATTCCGATACCTTTCTTGACATTCTATTTACGTTATTCATGTTATTTCAATAAACAATTAACATAACTTGCTATTAACAAGCGACTTTGATTTTACGCAGATAACATGAAAGAAATAAATCGAGATAAATTTCGCGATGATATGAATAACGCGATTGACGGGTCGATGGTCCACTTACCTTCTTCTCCGTGAGTTTCTCGCATCTCCTCATCTTGCAAATTTGATGGCTCTTGTCGTTCCTGCAGGGTGCGCAATCTCCGCAGTTGTCTTTGCGTTGGCAGCCTATGCACTCTCCGCATCTCTTCCGTTTCTTCTTCGCCGGCTTGTCACCAAGGCCCCCGTCACCGTCTCCGTCGGTTATACCCCCGCCGAGATGGTGCACACCGCGATTCGCGGTAGACGAGACGGCGGCGACCTGACCGGAACTCTCCACGTTGCCGGTACCAGCACCGGCACCGCCGCCGCCACCTCCACCGCCGCCGCCATCTTCCGATTCCATTGAACCAGCGCGAATTTTTCTGCGCTCCTTTTTACGGCCGTCGATACCGATTGGTCGCGAAGTCGGCGAAGAGTCCAGCACGGTCGACATCGGATTTTGGAAATTGGCATGATGCAATTGCGGATATTCAGGCTTCACTACCGTCAGCACCGTGTGATGCGGATGACCCGGTGGAGGTGGCGGGAACGCTTGGACCGGGCTAGAACCCAAGAGCTGTATGTGACGCTCGTCGAGTATCTGCTGCTGCAGCGCCGGGACCTCTCGAGCTTGTACTGGCGCCGGTACCAGGGGATAACCGACCGATCCGCGATGCGGATGCGGTGCCGGAAGCGGCGTCCCGAGGGTGTGGAAGCTCGGCAGGTTCGATGTAACTGGCGGCGAATGCGAGATGGACGCCGGTGATAATGGCGTCAACGCCGTCAACTGAGGTTCGGCCTCGCTCGGTGCGGTGAACTGACTCGCGAAGCTGGGCAATCCTTCCACACCGCCGCCCTTCGACTCCCAGGGTCGGTACTGGCTCGCTGGGACCACGTCGATCAGCCGGCCTGTCAGACCCTCGTAGTAATCCCACGACACAAGACCCGGCCCGATGTCCTGGGCGTGAAGCGTCGTCAGCGTCGTCGAGGTGTCCATCGTGTTGTCGCCGGCGAAGCTGCTGAAGGGCGGCAGGTGCCGCGCCGACAGGTCGCCAGAGCCGACCGTACCCGGTGAGGTCGCGACCGCCGCCGGAGGGCTCGTCGGGACCCTCTCGGTGGCGCCGACCTCCTTCGTCACCTCGGCGCTCATCTTCCCCGCCACGTCATCGCCACTTGACTCCTCCGCCTCGCTTGTGAATTTTACGCGTCGCCGCTTGTGGTGGTGGTTCTCCTCTCGGAACCTCCGGAGGATCGCGCGCGAGCGGTTCCTCTCGTTGAACTATTCGTTCGTTTCGGATCCGAAGGCTCGAAAAATTATCTATTCTTCGAGCGGATAATTAACGAAATTCGTATACGCGACATTGATTTGCTTTTCTCGCAATCGATCGCACTTTGATTTCCGTTGATTTCCGTCGAGTGAGAATTGTGGAGATCCGACTTGAAGGTGACGACGAAAAGTGTCTCGTTTGTTGTATATCGATTCAACGATGATATCCTCGCTCGAAGTGGACTGGAATAGTTATCACTTATCTGAAATTGGCCCGTATATTTCGGCCGTACGTAGTCTTCTACGCAATTTGTCCTTCGATTACGCTCGTTCTCTCCTTCTTCTCCTCGTACTCGGTTTCTCGCTCTCTTTCTCTCTTTTGTCTATCTATATCTCTAGCTCTGTGTCGTTTTGTACTCAACAGGTTTAGGCTACGAACTGAAGTAGATCGGTTGCTCTGGGAGTATTCAAGCGAATCTGATTAATTCCTCCCTTTGTCTGCTTCTTCTTCCTTTCGCTTGGCGAAAATCTGTTACATGTTGCGTCCAGTTTAAAAAATGCACTTATATGTTACGGCTATTTCTATAAACCTCTACAAAATTGTGTGTGCCGGTTTGTTTAATTAATCGGCTCTGACGAAGGAATCGGTATGTGTCTCACTATTATTTCACTTGACGAGAGATTATCGATATTTGATGAATGATTAATAGAAAAAATAGGTAGATTCTTTGGTTTACGGTTCCTGCTCTCGCACTGGATTACTCTGTTGGTCTCTCTCTCTCTCTCTCTCTCTCTCTCTTCCTTCCGTAAAATGCTGTACGTTTGCACTTATTCGTATTTATTTTTTATGAAAATTTATTTTGTAGATAACACTGCGTATATGCGTGCCTAAAAGATTATTCCTTTTATATTCCAAGATAAAATAAATGCCATCTATTATTTTATTGTTTGAAAATAAATCTTATTCTATTCTATTCTACTCTCGCTCGTTCTCTCTGTTACAACGATCACTTTCACTTTGCTTTCTTCCTCAATTTGGCACTGGCGGACTTGTTTATTTACTTGTTTGTTCTCTGTTTCTTGTCTTCCTCCTTTAATTAGATATATTTTGTACACTTATTAGTTAATATAGCTCTTAATCTTTTGTCTTGTTCTGAACCTAAGCTCTTGGGATATCTTCCTTTTTTTGTGTGTTCCTTCTCTCTTTAAATCGATATAAACATACTAATTACATATTTCTTTCGCGTTTTTCGTAAGAAAATAGAAATCACTTGAGGTTAATGTGGCTTGTTAGAAGGCGGTTGATTTGTACGATCTGAAACAGTAAATAGAGAGACTTGTCATTTATGTTATTCCTGTACGACGGAGGGAGGGGGAGGGGAGATGAAAATTTTTCCCGATACGATACAACGGAGCTACGTGGCCAACAATCGGCGTTGAACTAATTCGCAAAGCTCGACTTGTGCATCACGCGTCGAGAACGGAGAAATCGATGAAAAAATGAAGTTGCAAATGCGGATCGGCGAATACGTTATACATCACGCGAGCGAGAGCGCGCACGTGACGCGACTATGTGAGAATGTGTCACAGACGTTACTTATAACGTGACCATCGCTAAGCCAAGGCTACTATTACGTTCGGCGTTGGTGTTCGCACACCGATTCATACGCTCGCTTTGATACTCGCGTACGTTGCGCTTGGCCGTTTCATTCACGTTGCTTAGAAGTCTGACGATGGCTTTGAACTCGTCGCATCATTCCGAGTGGAGCAGCTCGATCGAAAGCAAAAGAGACGGACTGTACCGCTGTCAATGAAGACTCGTAAACAAATCTCAAAAATAAAAGAAAAATTTACGAAAAAGAAGTTCAGCTGTGCCTTGAATCGCAAGTAATAAATCTGTGTTTTAAAACTTGGTATTTTTCAGCATCAAAATGGCTGACCGAAAGGCTTTGTAAAGATTTGTTCGCAGTCACGAGAGTTTCGTCGCCATCGTTAAAATCGGGCTGTTAGCCCTCCGCGAAATATCGATCGATGTTTATCCTCTCTCGTTCTCTCGCCACTTCTCTTTCTCCTATCCGTTTCCTCCCGCTCTTCTCACTTTCTCTCTCTCTCTC